CCTAGGTCATGCAGCGACAGCAGGCTGGGTTCATGGCAAAAGGGAGTTTGTCCACACACGTACCATATGCAGAGGGCAGGGCCAGCCACCCAAGCAGTAGAGTGTACTGATTAGCATGAGGGTTTATTAATAACGTGTGTTTCCTTTTGTCCATGCTACTGAATGGCCGGCGACAATCAATGCAAGTGTGTGCTAGGGACAGTGTCCTTTCACTGCTGGCTGTGGTGGTTTGGTTTGTTAGATAGATAGATAGATAGATAGATAGATAGATAGATAGATAGATAGATAGATAGATGGATGGATGCAGCTTATTTCATGCGCTTTGTGTCTTTACATGAGAGAGGACTGAACTGTTTAATCAGGGTCTTGGATCTTGGGTCTGGATTTGTCTTTGGGGTGAGGGCTTTCAGAAGACAGGGGGACTCCCTCAGCTTCCTGATGAGCCCTGGAGTCGGAAGGACTGGGGTTCAGAGCCTGGCTGCCATGCTTACCGACTCTTGTGGCCTCAACAAGTATGTGATGGTGCTTTTCTGAGCCCGAGTTTCCTGATTTATAGAGTGTGGATCGTCACGGTGTCCTGGGACTGTTGACTTGATTCCGTGTGATAACCCAGAGAAGGTTCTAGAAGGATGCTTAGCTTCCTCACCCTCCTTGGGGACTCTGCTGCCTTCCATGCTTTAATGATTTACGGTGAAGAGTCTGCAAGGCCAGGCTTGAGTGGGACATCAGAGGTCTGTGTCCAGCCAGCTTGGATTTCCTTCCACAGAATCCAACTGCTGGCCAGCTTGTGCAGGCGCCATTCTGAGACAGGAAACTCAACGTCTGACCCTCAGAACTGCCCTGCTCATCGCATCGAGCTGTGTGCATTGTGTGATGTCCCGTTAGATATGGGAAGCTCCTCCCTCACCCAAGAGGTGGTCATGCTCCTGGAGAAATGCCGTCCACCCCGTCCACAGCGGTGTCTCCTCCTTGCATTACTGGCATTTGGACCGGGCTGTTCTTTGTTGGGGGGAGGGGGTGCTCTGTGCCTTGTAGGAGGCTTTGCAGCCCCCCTGACCTCCACCCACGAGGTGCCAGCAGCACTACCCCAATGCTCACAGCCATCAGTATCTGTGGACGTTGATCCATGTGCCCTGGAAGACCACAGTCAGGTGAGAAGCACTTTTGGGTCTTCCTCATCTGCATTGGACTTCCAGGGCTGCCACAGCAAAGCCTCACAAACCGGATGTCCTGTCAGCAGAGAAGTGTGTTCTCTCGGAGGCAGGGAATGTGAACCTGGGGTGTCAGCCGAGCTTGCTCTCTGAAGGCTTTGGGGGAACACCCCCCTTGTTTGTCCCAGCCTCTGACAGCCCCCTGGTGTCAGTTGTGAAGGCTCCATTCGGGTTTCCTCAGTAAATGGTCATCTTCCCTCGGTGTCTCTTCCCTCCGGGCCACTCCCATCACATTGGCATCTGCTCTGCTCCTGGGTGACCTCATATTAGCGGAGGTCTAACATCATCAAAGACCCTGTTTCCAAATCATGTCACATTAACAGGTCTAGGGGTTAAGACAGTTTGGGGTTTTGTTTTGTTTTTCAGAGGCATCCTTTAACCCCTAGCCCCATCCTAGTCCCCGTCATCCCAGCATGCACCTTTCTGAGCAGCTTGTGTGTCTCCAGGTTTCTCGTCCCTGTAGACACCAGTGTCTCTGCAGTCAGCGCCTCTGAAATGTGCCTGGCACGAGCTGCCCCAGACTGCATTCCTGAAGAACCAAAAGCTGACGTACAGAGGAGAAAAAGGAAGTTACCCATCATTTTTTCCTGCAGCTGCCTCACAGAGCTAAAGGCAGACACCAGCAAGGCTGGGCGGTGCCGAGACTTCCTTTAGAGACCAGGAGGGAAGAGTGTGAGTCTGTCTGCTGACATTCTTCTTGACCGGCAGAGCTAACGGCCAGTGAAGGATCTGGCTGAGGCTGGCCCAGCTTTGCTTAGCACTCTGGTTTTGCAGAAATACAACACTCTGAGCCTCCATTTTACCATCTGTAGAATGGACATAAACAGCTTGTTGTGGACCACGGAGCAGAATCGACTCGGAGCTGACCCACCAGCAGGCTTTCAGAGGCAGTAAGTCACATGCAAGGAGACTGCCCATCTTTGTCCTGTGGCTGGTGGCTTACAACGGTGTACCTTTGGATTGGCAGCACAGCTTCTCACCACTAAGCCACCAGAGCTCTGTAGCATAAACAGAGCAACCCATGTAGTGGCTTGGAAAGGGAAGGGAGTGCACTAGGCATGTGTTCTCTCTCCATACCTATTCAGTCTGTATGCTGAGCAAATTATCTGAGAAGCTGGATTCTATGAGGAGGAGTGTGGCATCAGGATTGGAGGGAGACTCATCAGTAACCTGCATTACGCAGATGACACATCCTTGCTTGCTGAAAATGAGGAGGATTTGAAGCACTTGTTGCAGAAGATCAAGGAATGCAGTCTTTGGTGTGGATTGCATCTCAATATCAGAAAAATGAAGATTCTTACCACTGGACCAATAGACAGCATCATGATGGAGAGGAGATTGATACTGTCAACAATTTTGCTTGGATCCACAATTAGCACGCTTGGTACCAGCAGTCAGGAAATAAGAAGACCCGTTGCACTGGGAAAATCTGCAGTCAGGGACCTTTCCAAGTTATTGAGGACTAGTGATGTCAGTTTGAGGACTAAGGTACATCTGATTGAGGCCATAGTCTTTCTGAGTACTAGCTATGTGTGCAGCAGCTGGACTATGAATTAAGGATGACAGGAAAAGAATTGACACCTTTGAGCTGTGGTGTTAGAGAAGAGCACTGGGTATCCCATGGACGGTCAAGAGAATAGATATGTCTTGGAGAGGATGCAGCCGGAGTGCTTTTTGGAGACAAAAATAATACTTTGGACATGTTGCTAGGAGAGGCTATTCCTTGGAGAAGGATATGATGCTGGGAAGGGTGGAGGGTCAGCGAAGGAGAGGAAGACCCTCAACCAGGTAGACTGACACAGTGACTGCTGTAATGGGCTCTTGTGTGTCAGGAAGTGTGAGGATGGCACAAGAAAGGGCAGGGTTCACATCTTTTGTTCATAGGGTTGCTATGAGTCGTGCTTAACTCGATCAGCAACATTATATAGTAACTATCTCAGAGTTTTTGGGGAGTGTGCAGTAAGCAGTGGATACACTGTAGCTGTTGCTTTTGTGTCCCCGCTGGCTGTTTGTGTCCACCCCCAGGTACCTAGGAAGGAAGGCCTGGCAAACCTCAGTCAGGAAAATCTTAAGAAGCACAGCTGTGCTCTGACACCCCACATCAGCGTGAGTGCAGAGGACGTGGTGGTGGCTGCTTTGGTGTTTTATTGTTTTTACATAACAGATAAACTCAGATCTAAGAAGGAGGGCTGTTCGTCCAGGCTCACTCAGCACCCAGTCTGAGCACACTGGTCCAGCAGCTTGCCTTTTCCTGGAAACCCACAAAGGCCTGTGCATACAGAGGAGGCATTTCCAAGATCCATTTTATGTGATTCTCACCCTGTTAAGGGCCCGAGGTTTTGCCAGAATCGCCTCTTCTCACTTTCATTTCAGAGCCCAGCCAGGGTAATAAATCTTGCCCGAAATCTGGGCAGCACATCTCGAGTGGAGTGTATGATGAATCTGATGTGTGGAGGCCTCTCTGGATGGAGACCCTGCATATATCTGTGTTTGGCCGACAGCCTCGCGGCCTGACAGGTTATGATCTGCTCCCCGCCTGACAAGCCTGGTCCTCCCGTGGGGTTGTCTCTGTTCCACCATTTTTCTTGACTCAAGGGTGAATCCATGACCTTGTTTCTTCTACAAACCAGTTGTCACACAGGTGACCCCCCTTGGAGGGACCCTTTTCGATGCACAGTAGGACTGTGCTTGTTTTTAAATGCAGATCATCAGGCCTTGCTCTCGAGTTACGCCTAGGTGGGCCTCAAGTGCCTGCTGACTGAGTGTGTGAGCTCTGTCCAGCTCATCTTTACTCTTCTGAGCTGTTTTGAGTGTGTTTGTTATTGGTTTTATGCAAAAAACCACAGGTACATACACACAGACACAGACTGCCTCTTTTAACCGGACAACTGTGATTTCAGATGAGGGAGGGAGAAAGGTGGATAGTGAGTCTTTTCTTCATGGAGTTAGAGGCACCCCTGTTGACTTGTGATCTTGAGGAGAATGGAAAGGGCTGGGGTCCTGCTCGGATCATCCAACCATTACTTCTTAATCCCCTTCTGTATGCATCGTGTTCTGCTAGGAGCTGGGGATATAGAGGTGAATGAGACAGAGTTGGGATTCGGATGTGCACATATGCAATGATCACTAGAGGTAAAGTTGATGGCTTCTGCCTGGTGGTGGGAAGGTGAGGGGCAGCAGTGGGGTCCCAGGCATGGGCCAAACAAGTGGGGTCTTGTACATGAGCTGGAGGATGGGAGGGTGTTTACAGTGAGACATGGAGAATG